ACCCTTGATGATACAAGCATTTAGTTCAATGTCAGCAGGAGGCTTAGTGGTTTTCTGCTCCAAAGGGTTACTAGGGTCTTGCGGGAGTGAATAATTATGTATCTGAGTTCCACACTGCATTAGACTGTGCATTTCAGAGAAGTTCAGTCAGCTTGTGGATCACATTCCTTGGAGTTCTTCAGAAATCCCAAACAATACCTTGGTCAAGTATGACTCTGTATTATAAACACCCCATATGGCAAGAGAAGGTGATGGAAGCTCCTTCGAGTGGGATACAATGACAGAGCAATGACAGGTAATAAAGAAAGAAAATTGGCTTTCCACTTCTGCCACCAGAAACAGCTCAAGAGGAATGCAGTCTTTACTCCGCTGCTAACCCTTGAATGAGGGTGAGGAGGAGTGGATCCCAGCTCCATCTCTTCCAGTCACTTACATGCACTGCTTGCTCCCTGAGCTCCCTGGTTAGCCATGACTTCTCACCTGGCAATTCCACTCCACTCCTTGTACAGACTGACTGTCCAGGGAGGAATGAATGATCCTTAAGCAGATTAAAATTTAGTTGCCTTAAATAAGCTCTTGGTGGGAAGTTAGTGTTGCACAGTCCTAGATCAACTTAATGTAATTCTACATCTACAAAAAGCAGACAGCTAGAAGCACTCATGTTGCTAATTGACAGATTATTCTCAGATATGGGTATCTTTTGCATAAAGTACATTTTGTTGCAATTGATGGTGTCCAAGTACATATTTATTCTGAAAAAGTGAAGACCTACTGTAGTGCTAATGCAGAAATGTCTTGGTGTGTGAAATGGAATGCAGATACTTTACGACCTTCAGATCAAAGCTGCTCTGTCTTAGGCTGTGTAAGCTACAACCATCGTGTCTATGAGCTTTTGTGGAAGTTTCAGAGGTGTTTTGTGTTGTGGTGGAAAAGGGACTTTGAATCTAGCCTTAAACGAAGGAACTATTTATAAATCTGTTGATCTGTCCATGTGTTTGTATGGAGCTCCGAAGAAAGAGGAGATGTTGTACTTCGTGCTTATTTTCTTTCTTCTTCAACCTGGGTTATATTGTGGAATTGCTTAAGGAAAGAATGAAGTATGGCAAAACTTTGGCCAGAACACACTGATCTCTGCGTTTGGGCCAGGAAGAAAAAAAAAAGGAGAGAAAAAGCAATTAAGCCACCGATGTTGCTGTGATTAATGCCAGGACCTGCACCAGTTCCCAAAACTTACCAAATGTGAGAGTTATTTTAATGGTTTCTGTTGCCCATAATCCCATTTTTTTTCTGTTTGCTAAGAGGTGCTGCACTGCTCTGTGTCCAGTTCTGTCTCTTTCAAGTAATACAATTCTTCACCACGGGCATTGGCAGTGCCTTAAGGCTTCATTTGTAGAAATGCTGAGTAGCCACCCTACCATTCAAAGCTAGAAGAGGCATTTCTCAGCACGGTTTTAGAATCAGGCCTCTATGCTCAAATGAGGTTTTTCAGTTTAGCTGTGATAAGGCTGTTTAAATGATCGCTCTGAATTCACCTGGACACCTCGAGCTGATCTATTTTTTTTCTTTAGGAAGTATTTTGTTAATAATGGGTTGATTTCAGGGAAGCTGGAATCAGTGTCCCTTGATGAATATTATTCTCTGTGACTCAGAACTGAAAGAGCAAGATGGGTAGTTCACAATGTGAAAGCAGGAGTTCAGTGTCTCATATTCAAGTTGCAAATCAGCAACATTGGAATTCATGGCAGAAGGGGTCAGAAGGCTGGGTTTCTGTGACCTTTGTTATTACGTTCTGAGAAGAGTTGTTCCTTTAGAGCTTATGTTCAGGTTTTTGCTGAGCTGCAGATCAAATCAGTTCAGTAGCACCAGAAATTGTAGTACTTGTTGCAAGATGCTTTACCCAATGAGGAAAACTTTCACTGTTTCCTTCTTGAAACAGCCTTCCTCCTGCTTTGGGATGCAATAGAAACGTGATTATTAGCTGTGTTGTACCAAATCAAATTCGTTTAGTGCTTAAATTAAATGGTGGAAACTGAATTGCAAAAATGGAGTTTGTGAACACAGTGAAATCCTGAGTTGTGTGAGAGTAGCTGGTCGTGGAATTGAAAATGTCTGTTTCAGTTGTTTTTAAGAATATTTGAGGAATCTGGATATTGTATTTTGTATGTCTGTCTAAGTATGGGAGGCCACATAATGCTGCCATTTCTAGTTCTGTAGCCACTTAAGCCCATTTTATCCGCAGAGCTGTGATTCTTGAATTGAGAGCAATTATCCTGGTGGCTATTAGACTTCAGAAAACAAGGAAATAAATGGTTCTTACATCTCGTAAAATTCCAATGTCTGCTGTTTGTTCTCCCTGCTTTCTGTTGTCAGGTGCCTGCAGAGCTCCCTCCGTGGCTGGTTACACTTGGGGAACATAGCATTAGATGATGACTGGAATTACAGAGTGTAGCTAAAAGGTTGTGTCTGAATTACAACAAGCACCCAGCAGGCAACTCATAGCAAAGCTGAGGAGTTTTTTGCATGTCATTTAAATATGCGTTTTGTCTCATTGCCACATATGGAACAACAGAGAGAAAAGAGCACTTTAAATCCAGACAGTAACAAAATGGCCATCAGGTGGCTCTGGTTCTCAGCAGTATGAGGCACAGAGGTTTGATTCAGACGTATTTTCGTGCCCCAGGCTACCAGTTCCAACTCTGTATGAGCCAGAATGCTGTCGGTTTTTTCTTCTGAGGCAGGCTTTGCAATTATTTCTTTACATTCACGTACAGCTTTATTTCTACACCTTGCACATAAGGAGTAACTGGCAAACTTTTTAAGCTCTGCTGATGGAGCTTAGCATTTCATACAGGTTACACAAGCGTGGTGTTACTGATACAAAAGGCACGCGAATTGTTAAGCCTGCTCAACCTTTCGTGGCAACCACGAAACCGTCATTCGGGGATGGTGTTTGGAGATCAGCGGTTTGGCTGCAGCAGGAAATCTGCCATCTGCTGGCCGAGGCGGGAAATTACACGGCAAGAGCGCTCCGGTGGCTCCAACGAGAGGAGAAACTGGCGGCTCTGAGGGGCTTTTCGGCAGCCGGGTGTTGCAGAGCAGCTCGGTAGTTTTCTGACAGCATGTTTTTCCATCAGAAAGTACTGTGCTGTTATAATGAAAGCTTTCTGTGGGAGCACGTCAGTGGGAAACAGGAATGTTCCATTCTGAAAAGGTCAGAACGTACCGTGTCCACATTTTTACACTGCAACACCGGTTTTTAGTAAATAATGTTTGTTTTTTTTAAAGTAATCATTTTTGTACACTGTAAAAACAAGAAGTCAAAATTAAATGGTCTTCTTTGTACGCAGCACTGCTGAGGCCTTGTGCAATCACTGTGATACATGAGGAGTTCGAGGCAGTGAGAAGTGTGGGAGCTCTGGCTCTCACTGTGCTGCTCTGACCGCTCGCTGCTGTGGCTGTGCAGGTGTGCCCTGCAAGGCAGTATGGCAAGGCTCTGCTCATCTTTTCATTCAGCTGAATCAGAGATGGAAGGATGCTGAGCTTTTCTTGTCTTTGTGTCTTTCTTTCTCTTGCTGCGGTTTTTCATGATTTACTTAAATTGCTGTAGTAATTTAAAGAAAAACTGGCCTGAACTTGGGCTTGTACCCAAGGAACTCCCAGTTATGCCCAGAATCATACTAGTCAGTATTCAGGGGGGAAAAGAAAATCAATCAAACAACTAACCATAACTCTTAGGACTTTCCTTTGTATAGGTTGGTACGATCAGTACTTGTCATGTGCTGAGAAGAAAATGTAGACTTTGCATTTTATCTGCAAGGAAAACAATGAATGAAAAAATTCCAGGATCTGATTAGCAGGAGATCCAAAGGTTCTTATTTTTATACGTGTCCTTAAAGCGGGGCTGTAGCTAAATTTGATTTCTTACAGACTGCTAATGTTGTTTTCAGAAAGGACAATGTTTCTGATTATGTAACAGCAGTCCTGACAAATAACATGTATACATCTGTGGGATGGCCACTTAAACTGTGTTACAGAAACGTTTAGATTTGTGTAACCAGGCTGAATTTATATTCAGAGATATTTTTCTAATAATAGATTTCATGGCTTCTTAGATACCAGGCAGAGCTCTTTTGGTCACTGTATGGCTGTGTGATCCAGGGCAGTGCCAGAACAGAGCATGTCTGCTTCTGTAGAACCCAGCACCGGGAGAAGAGAAGCATAATGGGGAATGTTTAGGTTCAGAAAGTCTGAGTTCAGTTCAGTTCTGTGATTTGTAGGGCTCTGCTCTCTCATGACTACTGCAGAGGTCTTTTTTGCCTTCTGCCCCATCTCCCATTTCCGTCACCCATCCTCTCGTTTGTTGGCAGTGCTGTCACCATCATTCTCTTGGCCCTTCCCTTCTCTGTGTCCTTCCTTTCTGTTAAGTTGCTGCTTGCTTTTCTTTTCTTTACCCCTGTCCATTTTATTGCATCAAAGCTTTACCATTTGTGGCACCTGACCTTTTCAGTAACTCCATGTGTAAGCAGGCAGTGGTTCTAGCAGGTGAACCAATGTAGCATTAAATCAGTTATTTGTGTATTTATTGTAGAGCATTTTTCCAGCTGAATGAATTTGCAGATCCACACGTGGTGAAGCTGTGTTTTCATTTGCCAGAACCACCGGCTTTTTTAGTCAATGTATTCCACCATAAACTCAGGATTTGGTAGAGACACGGAATAGAAAACTCAGCCCAATCTCTGAATTAAACACATTCTTAGAATGGAAGAGGGTAGACAAACATTGGGTCGCTTAAGTATTTGCTGTCTGTTTGTGCACCTCTGCCCATGCAGATCTCTGTCATCAGAACTCTGCTGTGTAGTTAACATACTGTGCTAATGGAATAACAGAGCTGCTTTATTGAGCATTTTCTGAGCTCTCCTTGTTATCTGGCTCAACAGAATAGGCTGCTAATGATAGACTGGTGGCAATGTTATTTGGAGTCAAAAAATTGACAAGTAAAATTGGTTCCTTTATTTTATTTTCTCTTCGAAAGATTCGCTCCAGGAAATTAGAGAAATGTAATTTCAGATATCTAAGAAAGGCATCCTTGCTCTGTAGTGGTTTAATTTTGTGTTGTGCATATTTGGTTGAAATTCTTCATGTAATCTGCAAAATTCTTTGTTTTTTAAACATAATATAGTGAAATTTGACGCAGTAGTTCGCTGTGTGCTCATAGCAACACGGGGCAGATGTGATGGTTGTGACTGGGACTTTGGAGGCTGAAAGCTATTGATTTGCCCAGTCCCTTTACTGGACAGCTTCTGAATCATTGGTGCCATGCCTGATGTACGTTTTTGCCAGATGTGCATCAGTTAAGCAGACACGGAGCATTGATGACCAACTCGAGTATTTCAGCTAACTGGATGGGAGCTTTTGCCTCTTAGATCTCATATATTTCAAAAGGCAAATATTCTCTGGTTTTCTCTGTGGGGCTTTTGGAGAGGATCCTGTGATGCTTGAATTATTCTAATGCATCTGCAAGATCAAAGCTCATCCCTTCATTTTGGGGGGGTGGTGGGTTTTCTGTTGTAAGGTCGATGTTTTCTGCAACGGAAGGCAAGAGATCCTCATTCATGAATTCTCTGGGAAGGCTGGGAGGAATGGGCAGGTCCAGAATTGGTTTCCAAGGTTTTCCAGGGCACTTGGGGAGAGGAGATTCTGTGTGATCCTCCGGCATCCCATTAAATGAAGAGATATCAGGAGAATACACTGGTTCTGTAGGAGTATCGATTTCTGTCCTTACAAACTCTGCACTGAGGAGCTCTAATGCTGCTTCAGCAGCAGATGATGGGAGGGTTTCTTTTGGACTAAAAACCCTTTCACTGGATTCCTCAGAAGATTCAGGTTTATGATGTTTGTGTTTACCATTTTTAATGTGTTTTCTATGTCCACACCTGTGGCCCTTCCTGGGCCCACAGTCAGTTTCCTGCTTGTGCCTTTTGGCAAATTCATGATCCATTTTCAATCCGTGCCTAAGTTTATGCCTGTGTTTGTGCCCAGGTTCAACTTTGCCATCTGGTCCCTGTCTGTCATCTTGTCTTATTTCTTCACCTGCTCTTTGACTTTCTCCTTCATTTGTATTGGAGGCTGGAGTTCCAACTACCTGTGGTAGTTGAACAAAGCTTCGTAAAGGAGTGAATCCTGGAGGCCTTCTCACCATCGCGGTCTGAAAAACAATGCAGTAATAGCTGTGTTGGTACATGGATGAGAGCAGTGGCTTCACATTTGGCAAGATCAAAACCTCATTGCAATAGATGGGTCAAAATCAGTTTTTTCAAAGCGATCTTAATAATCTTTTGTGTCTGTAATAAGCATGAAAACAAACGTCCTCTTCAGTAATTCTGGAGTATTTTAGCAGCTGTATATTGAAAGAGCAAATTATCACTGAAATTCTGCCAGTTCACTTGGGAGTGAAACTACAGAGAGGAACGTATGTGTTTGTTTTAATTTATGAACAATACGGTTCATTTCTATGACTGATTATCCCTGCTCATGTTAAAGTATAGCATTCTGATATACTCATACTGAAGTTTGACACATCTGTGGACAGTTTCAGTGCAGAAACATACCCTAGATCTGGATTGATTTGTCACATGAAATGTAGCTATTCAATTTTTTATTTCTTCATTTGACATATATGTTCCATAGGACTGTTGGAAAAAATACTCAGAGGTTAACGCTGACACTACAAAATGTTTGATTGTTTTTGAGTAATCTCTATTCCCCCATCAGTTCCACTGGAAAATAAAGATTGAGTGGCTGATATACAGTCCTGTGAAAAAAAATGTGTGTCATTTCTGTCAACCTGTGCCTGACCCTTATCTAACTGCAAATAGGGGCTCTTCAGGTTGGAGCTAATTTTGGAAGTTGTGGACACAATATTTTAAGGGAGACAAAAAGGGGAGCCATTTATTAGTTGATACATAAAGAATGAATAGATAATTACGAAAGTGCTGCAAGTTGCTTAATGGGAAATGCAGGTTAATCAATCTCACTTTATTCACTCAATCTTCGTTTCTTGATTGGGGAGCATGGGAATCTCTGGATTTATTAAAAACAGCAACAAAAACAACCCAAACTAACAACCTGCAATCATCAGAATTATAATCGGAACTAAAGAAGTTCTGACAATAAGAAAAATGTATGTTGTGTTCTGAAGCTCTCAAACTGGCCCATGTTCATGGCTAGTAACGGGATCTTTTGGAATGGATGAAGAAATTAATGTATGCCTTCGCTTATGATCAAAGAATGGCTTGGGTTGGAAGGAACCGATAAGATCCTCTAGTTCCAAACCTGCTGCTTCAGCCAGGGTTCCCAGCCACTAGATCAGGCTGCCCAGGGCCCCATCCAGCCTGGCCTTGAACACCTCCAGGGAGGGCCAGCCGCTGCTTTTCTGGGCAGCCTGTGCCAATGCCTTACCACCCTCTGAGAGAAAAATTTCCCCCTAACATTTATCTAAGTCTCCTCTTTTTTATTGTAGAATCATAGAATTGTTTGAGTTGGAAGGGATCTTTAAAAGCCATCTGGCCCAACTCCCTGCACTGAACAGGGACACCCACAGCTCCATCAGGTGCTCACAGCCCCATCCAGACTGACCTTGGGTGTCTCCAGGCATGGGGCATCCACCACCTCTCTGGGTTACCTGTGCCAGTGCCTCTCCACCCTTATTGTTAACATGTGTTTTTTCTTTTATCCAGTCTGAACCTCCCCTAGTGATGATGGGTAGTGAAGAAAAGCTGTCATACCATTAGCTGATATTGAGAGCAGTTAACCTGAGAGATGATTTTTTTCTCCAATGGGGCCACATAAATTTGTGCTTCACAGCGCAGTGGTAGCTGTGGACAAAACATCAAAACCAGCATGTTAAGGCTAGAAAACATCAAACAACATGAATGAGCAGCACACAAAAAAATTTACGTCTTAATAATACTTTTAAATACTTGGAGTTTTACTTGAATATATATGGAATCGGTTTTAATGATGGAGAAATCTATGCTGGGACAGATCGCTGCTTAGCTTTTTGACCTCTTAGGATGCCTCTGTGAACACTGTACTGCAGTTTTGAACTGGATATTGGATTTGTGCCCAACAATGTTCATTCCTAACAAACACTGCTTGTTAATCATACTACCCCTACTAAAGATGGGGAAATTGAGACAGTGAGAGGTATTTCTTATTTTTCTGGGTAATGCCAGCTGCACTAACAGTTTTTAGCTCTTAGAGATAAGCACTGTTCACATGGTGGGAAAAAGGAGTGAAAATGAAGAGCCTTCTCTTTCCCAGCAGCTCCCTCATCAGTGGTTTCTGGCTCAATCAGCATTACTTTCTAGTGTCTAAAGCAGATTTCCCCACTATCAGCAGCATATACTCCAGAAGCATAATTCCTTTGCACATTGAGAACACTAAAATCTCTCACTTTTCTTTACTGAAAGTGCAACAGATGCAGGAGCATTGACATCGTTTCATATCACAGCCACCTCCTTTCTTTGATTCTTCGTTATCAGAGAAAAGTCCCTTTTGCTTTGCATTGAGCGCCGATACCACTGTTACACTGAGTTACTTCAAGCTTCCTGTTTTAATGCTCTTGTCACTGGTTTGGGGTCGCAAACACTGGAAGTTTTTGTTGTTGAAGCAACAGAAACCAGGATCAAATGCGAGTTTACTTTGTGTATGTTTCAGATTGCAAAGGAATTGCCTGTTAGAAACACTACCATTGGCAACATCATCACTACTTACACTGTCTGTTGTGGCTTCACAGTCCTCATTAAGCTTTTCAAATTCTTTTTTTGAGCAGTTTGTCTTCTGGACAAAAAATACTAGGTTGTAGTTTTGTCCTGCAACCACCTAAAAATTAGCAAGAAGACCTTTTGTCATAAAGGCATTTTTATTGAAAAGAGTTCAGAGGCAGAGATGGTTTTCTACAAGCTTATACTACAGGCTCATATGACTTATAGTCTACAAGTCCTGACCCCCTGGGGCAATGTATGTTAAGAACAACATTAAAATGTTTGACAGAAAACCTATCTGCTTCTAATCAACTTACTTATTTATTCCTGTTCCCATTCTCAGAAATTCCAACACAGAAACTGAAGGAGACAGAAAGGTCAGAAAAACAGGTCCACAGTTTTGGCTTTGTTTTATTGGATGCCTGTCATAATTTAATTAATAACAAATGAAATCGTTAGAGACACCACTGTAAGGAGCCAAATATGATGTAAGAAGAATTGAATGTGAGTAAAATGAAGTGTGTGGTGAGCAGACTCAGTTGAAAATGAGCATATTTGCCAAATATATTAAGGAGGGAAACTGTTTTGGTTGAAGAATGTGCCTGGTACAAGTTCTCTTAGTATTTTTACAGAGCCCAAGATAATGTATCTTGCTTTAGAGACAGAAAAATACATAAAATTCTTTCAGTCTAATTTATAAAAGTGTGTATGCTAATATTAATCATTATGTGAAAAGTGATAAAAATATGTAAAAGATGAAAAGATGCTTACTGTTAGTGAGTTAACATGAGCTGATCAGAAATTTTTGCCCCAGCGGTGCCCGTTATGCTCATGAGAAGTTCCCAACACGGCATTTTCTGAACTACTCCCCTGTTTTATATTCAGTTCTTTCCATTTCTTAGAGCTTACAGCTACTGCAGGGTAGATAACAGCTGAAATAATTCGCAGAGTTTTGGTGTGGTAGATCAAGTGGGTAGTTCTATCTAATAGATCTTCTCTATTTTCAAAAGTCTATGGAATATTACTAAGGCTGATTAAAAAGTGGGGTAGAGATATAGAAATCGGATAGACAGTGTTAGCCTTCTTGCCATGCTTCTGCAATCCCCTTTTAAGAAGAAAAGAAAAAAGAAAAATCAAGAGGCCAGAGATTTTTAAATCCAAGCCAAAATGGTTAAAATTTCACAAGAAAAAGTGCATAAATATCTCAGTTACTGTGTGTATCAATGTGTAGAGAAAAATATTATTTGAAATCTAAATGTTAAGTTTAGACCTGTAACGATGCCATGTCTGTTCCTCATTTTTGTATTATATGGAGAATTAGATTTAAAAGGAAAAGAAACTCTCAACCTGAACTGTCGCTGATTCTATTTCTGCAGCTTGATAGTAGAAGTCATCATTGGTCTCTAAATTAAACTTTTCCACAGCAACCTTCAGTAGTTCCTTCACTTCTGCACTGTCAGTTGGGATGGCACTTGGACAACCAGCACAAACACGAGTGGGAGGATTTACCACTTCTTCAGCTGAAAGAAACCGACAGATTTCAGACGTAAGGAGCAAAGGTTTCTGTCTAGATATAGGCAGGGAAAACCAGTTATTTATACACCCCTGCCTTCTGGCACGCTTCCGATTTGAGTCTACCAAATTAAACCAAAATATCTTTGCATTTCATATGATCAGCAATGTTGTACCTTGGTTATCTGAAAGAGCCCTGCATCAGCGCCTGGTGTTGCATTGGATAAGTACAGCTCTCTCACACAAACAAGAATTGTATATACTGAATGTGGATAGCTAGCAAGTAAAGGCAGAGAAGACATTTATTGAACAAAAACAAGCAAATGAGTAACAATTGAGAATGCAGCACTTACTACGTACATGGGGTAATACTGGACTCCCTGTTATAAAGCCCTGAAACTGCCAGAATATGTCTCCAAATAGATAGGTGCAGGAAGCATTAAGAAACATAGATAGACAGGAAACATTAATAAGAAATCAATCTGTGGCTTAGATTGTAATGAACTTAGAAATTCTAAGTTGCTTACTTACCAGGAAAAAAATAAGCTTCTAATATAACAAAATGAAGTGTAACTATGCAGTATGAAATAAACAATAGTATTGGTAGCTGAATTACCAATTTTGGCCTTTGTCGACGTTGCCTTTCAAAAGAGCAAAATAGAGCGTATGAAATATTTATAGAAGTGAAAGAAAACTGTACAGTAAGACTTCATTAAGAGGCAGCGCAGCTTTCATCTTAAAATAATTGCTTTATCTTGTTATTATCAGTTCTCATCTCTTGGATTTTTATCTTACCTATTATTTTATGATTGTAATAGTACTGTTAGTGGTAATTACATACCTGGAAGGTTGCACTGGCTTGCAATATCTACAATCTCTGCCCGAAGATTTTCATATGCTTTGGCATCACATTTGCCTATACGCTGCAGTCACAACAAAAGAAACAAACAGAACCAGCTGCTTAGTGTGTAGAAGCAATGAAGAAGCTCACACTGTTCTTACTAACAGAATGAGTCAACCACACTACTGATAATTTCTTCCTTCAATATGCCAGGAGCAAGAAGCCTTTGCAGAGTTTGCAGAGACAAAAAATAAGGGTTTCAGAGAGTTACTTAGAGAAAATAAAATTGTGACAGAAAGGCTAAGTGACTTATTGTATGTATTCATTACAGAAGGAAAGAGAGAAGTTTACAAACCAGAATCCAATTTTTTGCAGAGCTCTGGTATTTGTCTTAAACTCCAAAGATCAAAAGGAAGATTACACATCTAACAAATCAAACATTACCGAGTTTCTGGGCCTGCAGTATTCACCCAAGTGCTGTAGGGGAGCTGTGGTAGATGATGTGCTTAAGATTGCCTTGCTATTTTAGGCTGAAATAAAAAAAAAATGTGATCCTGTTCTTTTTTAAATGTTGTAGATCTGTAAGGTTCATATCTGTACTATTCAAATTATTAGAAGGTAAAGAAAGAACTAATTGGCACGACTATATCAGAATTGGTTGTAAACAAAAGTTGTATTTTGCAGATTGCTTCAAAAGCATCACAAAAATTGGTAGAGACCTGACATTGATAAAGATTCAGAAAGATTTCAATGAAGTCTCTTACTGAAGTCTCTGAAGGAAACAAACTAACTGTAGAATAAGAGGAAAGGCCCCTATGTGGATAAATACTCAGTTAAAATACATGAAATAGCAAAGGATTAATGATTAGTCTCATAGAGAAAGGACTGCAAGAGCTGGATGTTAGATGTTGATCTGGGAGAAGGAAATTAATGTAGAGAAATGTAAAGCAATGCACAGGGGAGAAGCCAGTTCTGACTTCACGTTAGGCACTGAGCTGATAGATTCATGATCTTAGGGTTATGATGCACTTGAAAGTGTCATCTATGAAAACATCTGCCTAGCAGTGGTTTAGAAAAATGGGGGAAAAAATAATATCAAGGTTTATTATCTAGGCTAGAGAGAAGGAGTGACATTATGGCCCATTCCAGCTCTGTGGTTCACACACATGTTGAATACAGGGTGCAGTTCTGGCTCTTGTGTTTCAGAATGAATAGTATGCATGGTGTAGATTACAAGCAGCTTTCGTGGAATTTGGTTATTCTAAGGAGTGGAATATTTTGGAACAGCATATTCTAATAGTATCTCTAGATGATCAGTTGCTGATCTTAGTTGCTGTCTTAGTTTTGGCTGCTTAATTATTCCATCGATAAAGATCCAGTCTCACAGACACTCTGTGGTCAAATCAGAATGGAAAGGTGGTAACTCACCTGGATTATGCGAGATGGACAGAAGCCATTATCTCCCAGTGACAGGTTGGACAACTCAGGCTCAAGAAAATAAGTAACTAGCTTAATGTTTTAGGACAAGCATTGCTAACAGCGAATTTTGTTTCATCTAGCCAGATTCTCAGTCTCCTATTATTTACTACAGTGTTGTGACTCTTTCCTTTTTTGTTCAATGCTTCAGAAATGCAGTGATGTCTTTGAGACCTCTAGGGAGTCATTTACTAGCAGGAATGTAATGTCCAACCACACATTTCCACGACAGCTGAAGCAGATGGGAGTCGGGCTCTTGTGGCTCCTTCCCTCACATTTACCACCGCTGTTCACCATGGCTGCACGTTCCTGCTTTGGATTTGGCACAAGCACTTGTCTCACTCCTTGGTGAGATGGTCCAGGGAGATTGGTTGAGAGAGCAGCTCTCTTTTTGGTGCAGTTAATTCTGTTCCAGGTCAGAGCAACAAAGGAAGTACTTGGTTTTGTGGCGCTATCGGTCTAGATTATGCGTATTTGTTAATAAGGCTCTTCTGAAGCTCTCTTACTTGGGCTTTAGTAGAGATAGGTAGCAGTTCAGCTACTTACTTAGGAAATGTTCTGTGCTGGGAAAACGGCTAACTGTAACTTTTTGCTTTGTGTCTGAACAGCTCTCTGAATAGGAATTTCTTAAGGGTTTTATTATTAGGATGAGACTTCAGATTCAATGGAGTAATCTGCAAACATTTCACTCTTAGTCACTAATTCAAGAGAGAACTGCATAAATAGATGGTTATCTGTAAGCCTGAATTTTAACATCATTAGCTAAGTTAAGCAAGACTGTAAAATACATGTTTGAGTCAGATCTCAGCCGTTATTTGTTAATATGACATTTTTGTGATAAGTAGGTTGTGAAGATTACTTACACCTTCAGAAGTGGTTTTGCATTCGTGAGTTAAATCTTGAAATTGGTCTTTGGAGCAATTTGTTTCCTTGATTTCATATTTAATTATGTAATTCCATCCAGCTACCACCTGGAACAGATATTTAGGAGATATTTACATTATGTAAACTAATACAAACTTTGAAGTTCCACTACTGAATGCAATCAACGAAGAAAGCAAAACCACCCTTCTAAGCCTCTTCCATCCATCAAATCACATTGCAGTCATTGAGCCATACAGTATTTATGAGCTAACCAAAAAACGTTGTCTTTGCAGTACAGAAAGTAAACTAAGTCAAGTAGTTATTAGAAATGCAGCTTATATTCAGATTCTGCTTCTGGCAAGCCTGTAGCCTTGTGATGCATGGTTTCATGCACTTTCCTCCGAAGTATCTGTTACTTATTACTGCCAGTGACAGGAAGCTGGTCTAGATGGATGACTACACTAATACAGCTTGGCAGTTCCTGTGTTCCTAAGTATGTGACATAGTAAAATAGTATCTGAATAATGTAACTTTACACTGCTGGCATCATTTGTTATTGAGTGTCCTGTGTTTGTCATCTGCTTGTAATTGTGTCTGCTTTGGGCCTTTTCCCCCTCCCTTGCTTTGTCCAGATCTTTGACCTCCCTTCATTTTCTCTGCAGGAAGTACTTCTGTTTTCCTCACTGCAGCTATTGATTTCATCTATAAAATCTCTCCATGTCACAGTGTTGGATCAGGTAGTATTAGATTAAAAAAAGAGAAAGAAAGAATCAAAGATAAACTTTCTATCCCTTTCTATTCTAGATCAGTTAAAGCAGGGGGCTGTGACTAGTCTCCATTAGGCACAAGTGTCAGGATAGTTTTCTTTTGAGCTGCTGAATTGCAGTCTCTTTGACATTTGCTTGTAAGACTTAATTGTTGTGTAAGCTTGTCTTTCAGCTAAGAGAATTATTGCCATCAGTAAATAAAGGACCGTCAGAATTTAATCATGGGTCAAATTGATGTGAGACTCGATGCTTTTTGGCTAAGTAAAAACATACACAAATAAAAGGGTTTGTAGTTGGTGTTGAGTTATATACTGTTTAAAAAGCAAATTGGAAACTTGGCTTTCTAGCAACATCATGCCAATCCATAGGAGAACCTTTCATGGGGAAATAAGCACTGCCTGCAGTACCAGAAATTTCTGCAGCCTGAGCATTCACTTGCAAAGCAGATATTCTTCTGTGCAGAAATCTTTCAGCCAGCAATAAGCTTGCTTTTTTTCTTATGCATGTTTTCTTTTACTGGCTCACCTACCCTGTGGTGTATATCAGCTACTGACATACAGGTCCTATTGCACTGCAAACACGTAGGTGCCTTCTGCTGTTTGAGAGGCTGTAGAGTATGAGAGACATCTGCACAAGCTGGCACAAAACCTAGAAGAGATCTGTTCCTGCTGGAGCTTCATGGACAAGCCAAGTGGAACACTCTAGAGCATCTGAGATGACACAAGGTGCTTGTGTCAGCACTGAATAAAAATAAACTGGTGCTGAACACTGGTTAGTTGTAGCTGCAGATAAAGAAAAAAAGCCTTCATAAAATTGATAGCTCTAAAAATCCAGCAACAGTTTTTGATTCTGTGTAAGTGAAGAGAGTTATTTACATGGTCTGTGCTCTATATGAATTCTATATGCTTTTATCATGAAATATCACTTAACATCAAAAACATTTACATAACCAAAATATCTTTTTAAAAATGTGGAGAAAAAAAAATCATATACAGACCTGTCTTTGAGCTTCTGTTATTCCCACAAGTTTGAAAAGGACAGTTTCACCACTGTGCTTGTTGAACTTTACAATGGCTTTTTTCAGAATTTCTAACACTTGTAAATTGTCACTTGGTATCGAATGAAAGCATCCAAGACAGGTTCCCTGAGTAGATGGTATCATTGGTTGAACTGCAAAGGAACAAACCAAAAAAAGGCAGGTTTTCATGTTAAGAAACCTCAGGTTTTAGTTTTTCATGTTAAGTCGTGTGAAAAATGGTTCAACGTGCCAGAATCTTTTCTGCTTTTAAGCAGAATGATAAGCAAAATCCAGATTTTAGTTTCAGGGCCTGCAGAGACCCTCACTGTACTTAGATACAGGCTTCTGTGTGTGCTGGTAGGGGCCATCCATGAAACCTTTGTCCAGCAGCAAATTTAATTCAGAGGAATAGATGAATTCAGGAGTCACTGAATCCATTAAAAACCTTACAGGTAGTTTTGACACTGCTAAGGAAGGGCCTTCCCCATGCAGTTAGGGGAAAAGCAGTGAAGGTCACAGCTAAAGAGATGTTTTTTGGACTCTTGGAAGCTCACCTGCTGGGTGCAGCTGCTCGCTGTCCTCACCATCTTCCAGGAGGGGGACTTTGGCAGGAGCTTTTTGGCTCACCCACGTGAACAGCCCTGACTTAGAGCTCCTTAGGGACTGTAGTTGAACTGTCATTGCACTGCTGTGTTGTGTGAGCTCTCCCTGCTAGTCACTTCAGCTGCCACCTGCCACTTGGTGTTACTCTCAGGCATAACTAACTGGATTGGTTGTCGATAGGCAAGTTTGATGGGATGCTCAAACTTCTGTTTCTTACTACTAATCCTATTAACTCTCTTTCCTTTCTAGTAATCATGGATTAGATTTTCATAAATTAATTTTATAGTTCAGTACATAAATTAATTTCATGATTCAGTGAGCTTGGGACAATATGTGGTCTCTGTGGAATTGAAATAAAATTTGTGTGCCTGATCCTCAGCTGACATAAATTGACTTTAATGGCGTTATGCCTGCTTGCATCAGCCAGGGAATCAATCCAGGGTCAGCATGATCAAACAGTTCCACCAAGAAGGCTGAACTCTGTGTTCCCTAACATGAAGGGAAAGTCCCTCACCAGTTAGAGTCTATTGCTTAACTCTTTGTGTTTGAATCCTTTGCATTTGATTTGGCTTCTTTGTACATGTGGAATACCTCAGTGTAAGCAATGCTATTTAGTCTTAGATCTCCAAGAGGCACTCGATCAGAATTTAGCCTGTGATGTTTCTAGCATCACTTATTGCCCCTGGCTATTGACTCAGCAATGAACGCCATATATGCACTACAAAAAATTATTACTCCCTGAAAATGGGGTGATACAGGACAGCAGTATGCCCAGAGCCAGAAGGACTATGGTCTTTACATTCTGAACAAACATGCATGCTTTTTTCAGAGTTGCTATGTTGTGTAACAAGCTGAAATTCTTAGGCTGAATATGTAATTCTAATTCATGGCAGTTGTTTTTTAGCTTTTTAAATAAAGATTCAGATGCAGATTCCCATGCTCTCTCTGTGAGATTCACACACATTCAGTTGGCAACTAGATGTCACCATTGCCCCACTAATTGGAAACCCAGTGGCCTCTGCAGTAGCAGAGCATGAATTTGTGTGTGTTCCTGGAAAGACACTGGCTGTAGGTACAACACTACAGCTTTAATCAAGAGAGCTGGGGATCAAATGAAAACAAACCCACAAATATAAGCTGTCTAACAATTAGAAGGTTGTGGTAAATATTTCTGTAGTTAACGTGCACTTGGCTCCGTGCTACCAGTTAGATGGATTTTTAAAACCAGCTGAGATTTGTGTTACATGAATGCTAGCCATAGCTACAGAAATGTCTCAGTTGTAAAGCTTTCAAACAATGTGACCCATTTCTGATGAAGAGAATTACAATGCAAATGTAAGTTTTATATGAATATTTTATAGGCAAGCAAGGTAAAACTCTAATACTCTCCATTGTTAGGATCTAAGTGATGTTGTAGTTTATCATACATAATTCTATCGCTACTGATTATTATTTTTTTAAATTTAAATCTGCTCCCTCCCCATTCGGGAGTAAATTTTTGTTTTGAAAAGCTTTAACAGAAATAATGCAGTCATTCTCAGCTTGGAGAAAGTTAATTTCTGGTGCAATTTCATACCTGGTTAATTAAGGACAGAAACTTCAAGTGTGGAAAGGGGTATCTAGTTTCCATGTTATGGATGTGCTTTTGGCCTTAAGCAGATTCATTTCATTTCCCATGTGTAAGGAAACTTACAACACACCCACGAGACACCTAGCTTGTGTGTGCGTACCAGTGGAGTGAAACTTTTACCTTTAAAATGCAGTTACTTTTGAAAGATGATTTATGAATGTCTGAATAGAATGTGAGGAACTCCTAGTGTTAAAATTTTTGGAAAGTCCCAGCGTGATGTTTTTCCCATTCTTATTTTTCTATGTACTTTATGGATGCTGCCCCAAACAATTACTTACCTGGAACAATTTTGCAATCTTGTGAAACATTACTTATTTTTTCAGCGTTATTCATGTGAACTTGAGCTGTGCATTCTCCTGTTTTCTGCAAATACATACAGCAATATTTGACTTAAGATTGGTTGATGAAAAAAAATACTGTGCTGTACATTCTTTCAGCTGTTGAACAAAGTTGACAGTTGCAAGTTGAGTTTGGGGAACAAGTTCATATGTTCTTTTGTAATGATGTCAAGTTTGCTGTTTTGTTATTGGAAAAGCAACTGTCTTGTTTGCTAGAAGAGCAGAGAATGAACTGAGCAATTTATTTAGAAGATTGCTTTGTATCATGGTTGATAAGTGTTAATTAACTAAAGATTTTGCTGTCAGAATAAAGGAAATGAACACATTCTCATAAATGAAGTCTAAAGAATTGTGTTCCTCTCTGCTGATACAAGATGTGCACCAGCAATCATGACATTTCATATTGCTTCAAATAATGTGATCCCTCTTCAATACTTTTTTTTTTTTTAATGCTTTCTGTACAATATGAAATGACAATGATTTCTGCTGGGGATTTGCAGTGTTCCTGCATGCTGTGTGAGCCTGATTGCACCTCCTCTTTTAAGTGCTTTCTAATAGCACAAGCCAGATGGGCTTTGCACTGCTAAGCACCCTCTGGTAAATGCTCTGCCATAGTGGCTTCCATGTCAGTGTTTTTATTGGTGCCAATCTGGTTGGTTTGGTTGTGCAACTTTCCATTACACACGAGCAATAGGATGTTTGATAGCCCATTCTTGTTGTTAGAGTACCGTCTGCTGGATTTACTGTGAATCATCATATTGAAGATTTAGAATGATCCCTTCTGCTGGAATTCAGGTCTGTAGTGGTAAATTCACAAATATGGTAGTTAAGTTCAGGGTTGTAAACTCTTCTATACTTTATTTCTGTAAACTATCAAAAACAGCATAGCTGCAAAAGTTAATTCTCTTCCATGATTTTTTTGCTTTGTTTTGTTTTTTTTTCCCAGGAGAGCAAAGTCCTGGTCGTTATCCTGATGTTTCTGTTCTGGGCAGTTTTAAAGAGGAGAGATACTTACAGCTTCTGCAGATGCTTTGTAATCACAGTCCTTCCACAGTTTGTTTTCCTCAGTGGCACAAGTGGTCTCTCGTACCTGATATTTCACGTGCAATTGTTTGGCAGGACCTACCTGGATAAAAACAATATGCAAGTGTACGGGAACAGTTGAGTCACAGCCTGAACCTCCGCTTGATGGCCCGAGGCGAGCACTGAGTCAGCCCCAGGAGCACACAGGTGAAGGCAATGCAGCTGTGTGATGGAAAGGGAGGAGCCTGGCTGCACCTCTCCTAACCAGTCAGGGGCTGACTGCCACTGAGGAAGGCTCTCTCTCACTGGAAATCTCCTCTCGTGGAGTTTCTTGCATGCCTACGGCACCCCTGAGCACTTTTCATTTCTTTCTGATTATCTTTTCCTATGTGATAATCTTACTAGCCTAACTTCTCTGTATACTTATTGATCATACAATGCTTCACAACATCTGTATAGTTATTTATCTTACAGCAAGTCACCATTTGCATAGTGATAAATCAAGACATCAGTGAAAAGATAAGAACTGTGAAGAGCAAATACTATCCATTGGTTACCTTATGTTTTATATTATGGTTTCAGATTAGCTGCTGGTCTCTGCGAAAGGTCTCCCATGTATCACTCCCTCTCAGAAATTACCTGAGTATATTTCTGAGTCTTTACCTGTGAATATAAATATGGTATGTCCTACTACCTATGCTTTAACATATTTTATCTAGGACTTTAAGAAACAGACATGAGTGATTAGGTTTTATATTTGCATTCAAGCATATTCCAAATAAGCAAATTAGTCTGCTGCTTGGATAATTAACTACTAGTTTGGACTGTGCTCCTGTTCAGTTCCCTCACTCTCACACTTGTTCTCCTCCCAAATCTGTCATTCTCCTTATGTACCATTCTCCTTATGTACAGCCCTACAGGCCTCCCACAGGTAGCAATAGCCAGCAACTGTGGAGCAGCCTGGTGGTCCCCAGACTGCCTGTGCTCTGTGGTGTGAGGGTAAATAAGCTGCCCTGCATACCTAGGTGAAAAGGGCAGAGGGCTTCTGAGGCAGCCTTTGGCTGCTCCTGCAGTGTTCTTACAGGTGTTAAAGGCTGTGCTGCTCTTGGGGATGGTCTCACAAATCCCCTAAGATTTTCAGGCTATTGAAGTTTGTCATGACCAGTGCAAGTGCTTCTGATGTTGTTAAATAAGGGGGCATTTTCTCCTCGCAATAAACTGAGTAGTAAGCCCTGTACCAACAGGTAACATTAATACACTGCAAGGTTTGTAGCTCATCCTTCAGAGATTAAATAATGACAAGTTCTGGTTTACTGCCACTAAAAATGCTCTGTCAGTGTACTTTTTCAAATACAAACACGCACAGTTGCTGTAGTTTAATGTTAATTCTCAGTTGTATCACTTGAGGATAACCAAATGATACTTCTTGTCTTAATGGTATCAAGAAAGAGAAGCTGAGTTAGCATGGGTGGAGTATGCTAAATGTATGCTTGTGTAGGTGAGGACAGAATTATCTTTTGTTCTTTCAATTCCTGTTATACGTTGCTACATCTCTACAGAAAGTAGAAGTATGATGTGATGACTGCAGGCTGTAAGACAGGATGAAAAGATCTCTAAAAATATAATGGACTTAATCCTCAGCAGGTGTAAATTGACATTTATGGAACTGCACCAGGTTATACTGTCTGGGATGTGGCTTTAAAGAGCCAAACCCTGCTGTCTGTTAACGGTTGTAACCTGGAGTAAATCAGTTCAGTGAGCAAATGCAACTCATGAGAAAATACATTCTTTCTGTGTGTCATTTGTTGTTGTTTCATGTCGTTATTTTTTATGAACAGTTATGCCTTTAACTGGGGCAGGTTCAGTCTTCCACCAGTCAGCTTTTATGTTTTATTACCTTATCAATAATGAATGTACATGAATATATAATAACCAGCTATTTAATTAATGCATTCAGCGCTGTGAGACTAGCAATGAGTAAAATCTGTGCTCTTTCTGGAAAAAGTCTATAGAATATGAACAACTCTCTCTTGCAGATTCCTTCTGTTTTGTTTTTTTTTTCCTCAGCATCAGCCAGATCAGTAGCTCAAGTAATAATTGATTTTCACCTCAGATCTTTCAAGAAAGGGCACTATATTGAGAGAAAGATGATCAGGAATTGCATTAAATATGTATTCTTAAAAATAGAACATAAGACAAAATACTGAAAATAATATCTATCCTTCGGATAAGGAGGTTGTGTAATGGCTCCAATACAAGGAAGCAGAAAGGAAGGTGATCTTACAGCTGTGGTATTAAGAAGTGTGCATTTAGCTATTGTTATATTGTCAATAAAGACCATGGGAGTATGAATTTCTTTAATTATATGAAGGCTTTGACAAATTTCAGTCTTTGTCTGCTAAAATCACCCCAGTCTGATAACAGGAAAACCAGAGGGAAGGTGCCAGGAGACGTGGGTGCTTTACTGTAAAGCATTTAGCAATTTGTGTCCCCTTTCCATTGGGTCAATCAAAGCGTCTTGTGATTCTGGAGTACAAAATATTCTGTCTGACACTGGGATTCAGATCCAATAGAAAAAAGCTGCTGATATTTTCAAGTAAAGCAATGCTTGTCGTCATTACGGTTATGTTATCTTGGTGTGCGTCTCAGAGGTAAATACTCTGTTAGATTAACTTTGTTTTGTAACTCTGTGCTGAAGGACTGCAGGCAAGAGATCACATTTCATTCTTTATTTCTTCTCTAATTTTAACTGTCACTCTTTGACTAAAATATCACCTACTGCTTTTATATACATCTGTGACTCAGGACTAGTGTCAATCAAGTAATATTCACAAACAGTTTTTTCACAGCATTGGGGAATTTTATCAAGTAGTTTTTTTTAGCCTGTGATACTAGCTCTTCTCAAGTCAAAATGTATCCACTTTATAATGTGTGCTTTGCCATCCATCTGAAAAATCTTAATGATGGCAGAAAGGGGTAAAATTTCCAACAGAAAGGAGGAAACTGGATGGACAAATAAGACAAATTGTATTAGTGGTATAAGTTTTCTATTATTTGCTTTTTAGTCCTTGCATTAGTAAGCAATTCACCAGCACACAGTTCCACTGATAAGAACATAGTATTCATCCTTGCTTGTCACAGTACAAGTATCTTACTGTGAGCCATTTCTTTAATTTTTTTTTGGTAAATATTTCTGCACGACACTTTGCTGCCCCACTTGCTATCCCTTGTGAATCAGATGGAGCAAATCTGATTCAGAGTGAATAAACAATTCCAACATGGGTTTTTTTGCAAAGTCTACTTACTGTTCTCTTGGCTTCCATCACCATGTACAGAGCAAATTGATTACTAGTAGTGCTGTCTCCATTGTATTTCTGCAGTGCTGTGTCAACAGCTTCCAAGACATCTGGGTCATCGCAGTCCAAAAATTCAAATGGGAGAGGGGTGGCTCTAGCAGAAAAAAAGCTACAACAGAGTGCTACAACAACAAAAAGTTTCATAACTGGACAAAAAAAGTCCCCTGCATTAGAAGGCTCTTTAAAAAGCAAAGGGAAAAGGAATGCCTGACAAGGTTTTAATCACCTCTTATATTTTACAGGACCAATACCAAAGTAAACAAATGAGCGGGTTGCTGGGGTTGGTTAGTTCTCATCATATCCTGTTTATACAGCAAATAAACTTCTGAATTCCTCTAAACAGATTTTGTGTGGTCACCAGAATGACACTAAGGTTATTCACCTGTTATCAAGATAACAGGCTAACTGGCTGGAGCTGGAGATGAGCTTACACTGGACAGGATGGCTCCTGAGCAAAGCAGCAAGCAAAACGTTTGCAGATCTCTGGCTTTTTAACATCAAGACTGTTACTCAGAAAGAATTAAATAAGAAGGTCACAGTAGTAATGAAGTTCTAGTTCTGGACAGAGGCACTGTACATTTTATACATCTGTTTAGACACAATAGTTCTGAGAAGTCAGAAAATATTTGAAAGAAAAGTCTTTGGTCAGCTTCATGTCATTGAATGCCACAAAACTCTTCAACAGCAGTTGATAACCCTTGTCCTTCATTCTGCAATTGGAGGTGACTATCTTTGATGCTGTGTGAAGACTACCTGTGGACCATGGTTTAGTTGGTCTTCATGATGTATTCTTATCATTACTGATAGGGAAAATGACACCTAAGTAGAGATCAATGTTGCCTTTGTCTAGCAGAGGCTGTACTAGGGCTGGCAAGGAACATCTGGGACTGTTGACAGCGATGAGCACCAAACAGATTTGCTTTGAATCTGTGAACATGGTGGGATTTACTCAGATCCAGAATTCTACCTCCATCTTGCTCGTTGTGGTTAAAGAAATTGTACTTCAAAGTCTTTGTGGATAAGCTAAGCCATAGACAAGGTTGCTTGAACATTATGATACATTAAAAAAAAAAAAAAAGTAGCCAACCTTTACTTGGGCATGTGAAATGCCACCCTCATTTTGTTTCTTTTTCTTCATTGTATCCCTCATGCTTTGTTTTACTTTGTGCTCTTTAAAAGCTACTTTGAAGATCAAGTAGCTAATTTTTTTTTTATGTTAACCCCACGTTCTTGCTTATGGGATAACTGACCTGAACTAACTAAGACTGTCTGAGTGGACTTATCTTGATGGGGGCTCCAGTATAAAGAGACTTCAGAGCCCTTTCTTCCTGCTCCTCCCAGCTAAGTTGCCAGCAGAAAGATTCTTAGAGTCACAGTATCACAGAATGACTTTGGTTGAAAGAGGCCTTAATAATCATCAAATTCCAACCTCCTGCTGTGGGCAGAGTCGAGCCCACCGGATCAGGCTGTCTAGGGCTCCATCCAATCTGGACTTGGACACCTCCAGGCATGGGGCATCCATGACTTCTCTGGGCACCTGTGCCTCACCACCCTCTGAGTAATATTTTTTCTTAACATCTCTCCTAAATCTCCCATCTTTTAGTTGAAAGCCATTCTGCCTTGTCCTATCACTGTCAGAGCATGTAAGCTCCCTTCAAGTACTGGAAGGCCACAATGAGCTCTCCCTGGAGCCTTCTCTTCTACACAAAACAACCTCAACTCCCTCAACCTCTCTTCATAGTAGAGGTGCTCCAGCCCTTCGATCATCCTCGTGACTTTCTTCTAGACTCCCTCCAACAGCTCCACATCCTTCTTGTTCTGGGGGATCCCTAGGCTTGGACACAGTACTCCAGATGAGGCCTCATGAGGGCAGAGTAGAGGGGAACAGTTATCTTCCTTGCCCTATTGATCACCCTCCTTTTGATGCAATCCACAATACAGCTGGCAAATGCTTTGGTTTTTGTGTTTTGTTTTGTTTTGTTTTGTTTTGTTTTGTTTTTTAAATCAATGAACCATTTATCTGAAAGAGTGATTACTTGTTTTTGCTTTTCCCTCCCCTGGGAGCAGTTATGAACTACTAGAAAAGGACTGTACTTGAATGCAGTATTTTTTATGTATCTCCACCAGCATCTGTAGCAATGGAAGCACCTGTACAGGCCACCCTGTTGTGTTACACCACAGCTCATTAACTATACTCAGCCCTTTTCTAGATAACCTGGTAACCCAGCCACTATAAATCAGTTTATGTTAGAGTATGCCTCATGGGTATTGAATGTGCTGCTAAACATCTGTAGTAAGAAAAGACAAAACTTCAGCAACTGTGTCAAGAAAGAAATGATTACATGATTTTATTTTCTTTGGATTTTTATGAAGTGCAATGTAGTGCCATGGATCTTTTTTTTTTTTTTTATGGAAGATGATTATAGTTGCTCAGAGAAGTGCATTACAGTTAAGAACTATGAGAAAATGAAGATTTGTAGTTTTCACTGTTGGGGAATTTTCCTTTTCAGTTGAACTGATTGAGATTTCTACCCAGTCACATTATTTGAGAGACTCAAACTTTTGAATTTTTCTTTCAGTTATAGTGGAGTCTGAGATAGCTGGGATCAAGAAACAATCTGGAATACTCGCCTTAATCAGTAATGTCGGTGTTTCTCCTCCCTGGAAATTGTGTGCTTTTCCCCCTTTACCATATGCTTTTATCATTCACTGTGCATTGGTCATATGCCCTGCAACCCTCAAGTCAGGAATATCTTTCTCAGGGGTCATTCAAGACTTTCTGCCATGGACTTATGTGGAAGTAAAGGCAAAATCTTTGGAAGATCAAGTTTAGGTTTTCCTGGGCATGACTTTGATTGTGAAGGGTGATCTGGAAAATGTGGAGCTTCTGGCATCTCCCTTAGACTTGAGTCAGTGAAGGGAGTATCTTCATCAGTGCCAGCACTTTGAGGGCCAAGAAGTGATAACTCAGGAAATTTTGCACTGGGAGGTGTGAGAGAATCTTGCATATTTAGAACTGGAATGCGATAGACAGATCCAGTTACTTGGAATGGAAAGTAGCTTCCAGATGTGCGTGTCTTGTTGCAATGATGCTTGTGATAGTGATGATAGAGGTAAGGATGGTGTCCGGGAGGGGGAGGGGGAGGAGGAGGGCAGTGTGGCCCATGATGGGGAGGATGGTGTGGGTGATGATGTCCATGAGGAGGAGGGCAGTGTGGCCCATGATGGGGAGGATGGTGTGGGTGATGATGTCCATGAGGAGGAGGGCAGTGTGGCCCATGATGGGGAGGATGGTGTGGGTGATGATGTCCATGAGGAGGAGGGTAGTGTGGCCCATGATGGGGAGGAGGAGGAGGGCTATTTTGCTCATCATAGGGAGGAGGAGTAAAAGGGCGAAAATCAGATTTCTCTTGAATAAGAGGAGGACTGTGTTGTTTGCCATAGAGAGGAGGAGTGGAAGAGGGGTTTTCTGGTTCCTCCTGGGGAGGAGGAGGTGGGTGGTGATGTCCATGAGGAGGAGGGCAGTGTGGCCCATGATGGGGAGGAGGAGGTGGGTGATGATGTCCATGAGGAGGAGGGCAGTGTGGTCCATGATGGGGAGGAGGGGGAGGATTATGTTCTTCATCATAGGGAGGAGTAGAAGGGGGAAAATCAGATTTCTCTTGAATAAGAGGACCAGAAGAGGGGTTTTCTGGTTCCTCCTGGGGAGGAGGAGGTGGATGGTGATGTCTGTGAGGAGGAGGACAGCGTGGCCCATGATGGGGAGGATGGTGTGGGTGGTGATGTCCATGAGGAGGAGGGCAGTGTGGCCCATGATGGGGAGGACGGCGTGAGTGGTGATGTCCATGAGGAGGAGGGCAGTGTGGCCCATGATGGGGAGGAGGAGGAGGGCTATTTTGCTCATCATAGGGAGGAGGAGTAAAAGGGCGAAAATCAGATTTCTCTTGAATAAGAGGAGGACTGTGTTGTTTGTCATAGAGAGGAGGAGTGGAAGAGGGGTGCTCTGGTTCCTCCTGGGAAGGAGCCAGACCGTGGTGTGGAGGGGGAGGGTGGTGATGTCTACCATGGCAGGGAGGAGGAGGTTCTTTGTGGTTGCCTTGATGATCTTTGTTGAAATCATGGTTATGCTCAGAGTCTTCAGGTTTGAACTGAAAGGTCGGTGGACCTCTATGCCTGTGACGATGTCTGTGATGATGGGGATGCTTGTGTGGCCAACCTGGCGCTGGAGATCTGCATCTTTGTCCATAATATCGTTGCTGTTTATAAAAAAACCAAAACACCAGAGCAAGACATATTAAGTTATATGTTAATAGAACAAACAGAAGAAAATGGTGACAGAGAAAGGTGGGAGTTAATGGGTTTGCATTTATGGCTCCAGTGGTTTGTAAAGGAAAAAAAAAAAACAACTATTCTTTGCAAGATAGAAGGGAAGGAGTAGGTGATAAAATGTCAAATTACCAAAAAGCATCTGAAAGTACTGCACTGTGATAAAATGAAATGATGTAACCAACTGAGCACGATTTGTAATGGATCAAAGCGAAATGAAAACCACACTGGAATCATTGTTGTAATATGAAATGGAATTCCAAATATGATACAGATCATCTTCCCTCTCCTTGCTTTCTGAAATTATCTTTGAACTTGTTTGCCAATCTCTACTCACTTTAACTAAGCAGTGTGATTAAGCAGAGTGGAGACACCTTTGGAGGAGGCAGTGGGGATAGCACAATTCCAATTAATCCTCTGACTATCTTAGTAGTCAAAAGCCAGTCTGTTCTCACATACAGGATCACAGCCAGGGAGTACTAAATGACCTTTCTTCTGTGTTTCTTCTCTGAGAGTGGACTGAAACTGCAGTAACCTGCATTAGGACATAGCCAGAGACATTGCAATAATTGAGTACCTACCCAGGGACGATAGAGTTCACAGTTTATTTCTATTCCATTGGGTTCCTCTGGATCACTAACAGTTCTTGCCTTGCAGAATCCTGTGTGCTAAACAAAACAAAACAAAACCCAAAAACTCAACAATGCACATCTGGGTTCTTGTGATGGAGATAATAGAAGCCACTGAAAAGTCAGCATTTAAAAGTTAGGCCATCTCTTTGGATACCTAACTGCGTTTATATAATTAGGACCTGAGCTTTCTGGCCAATCATTCTTGCCCTCTAAATAATGAATAAAATATATTTCATTTTTGAGTATTCTGGACTATGAAAACCATTTCTTCATACACATCTAGAGAGCTATTGCTCTCCATCTTACTTCACTTTTGGTGTCTGTAAAAGTTGGTAATCTACCAATGCCTGTATTGACTGATTTTTACACGTATTTTTCTGTCTTTGCTTGCCAAATGTCTGTTCAGTTTAGGCTACTCTGAAATTTTGCTTGAAGTCCTCTGAACCTGTTGTGAGACTGCTTTTGAGATGAATCTCAAATCAGAGATTTTTTCCATTTATATTTTTGAGAAGTAATTTGTAGTAATCTTTAACATTACTTCCCTTGGTGTACAGGAGGTGGATGGTGATGTCTGTTTGCAGTGTCCTGTTTGCAGGGACTTTTGTCTGCTGTCTAGTACTGTGATAGCTCTCTGTAGATAAACCTGAATTATTCAACCCTCTTTTCCCCTGTAGCAGAGAGCAAAAAATAACCCCTGACTCACTGATATGACACAGGATATGTATTTCACTCAAAATCCATGATTCATGTTATTGCAATTGTTTTTATGAAAATAGCATGGAAAATTTACTAGGGAATGGCCACAATTTGAATGAGAAAGCCAGATCCAAACAGAAGAATTGAGCTCTAGGTCTGAAGTATGCCAGACTTCTGTTATATATACGTTTGATAGTTTAGACTGGCTCCTTGCAAGGAAGCATAGTAGGATCTGAACTTTGACATGCTGGGTTCTGCATTTTGGGTTTGGGTGCATGCTCCTAAGAAACACTTGGAATCACTGTGGAAAGATCATCCTGGTGCCATCACTTCTTATTCCTAGGCTCTACTTACAGCATGCCAGTCATCCAGAAATTCACATTCCAGTGGCTCATCTGCTTGTTGCTGTTCTCCTCTGGAACATTTGGTCTCTTTTATAGAGAATCCTAAAATGTGAGCTTCACGGGAGGCAGTCTGGAAAAGACAGGTCAACTGAGAGGTGCCGACGGGGTGTATTTAAATAAACAAAAAGGAAACAACAACAAAAAAGCTGTAATTTTAAAAGCAGCCATGCTTCATGCTGTTATTAACATCTCATATCATTCATACATTATCTGTGCTCTTCAGAAGTTTGCGCATGGCTCTGTATTCAGCAGGAAAAGTGGATTAGATAATTTCTGCCTTTGTTCCTCTCTCCTTTATGAGTTTCATAAATAGTTGCTTTAATTTTTGACTGTAATAGTTTATTTCAGGTCTGCTGAAGGTGTCTGTAGCACATGTGCCCGTAAGTTTCACTGGTTTAACTGAGCTTTTTGAAGCAGTTGCACACACTTTGCGGGATGTGTTCTAACGAAACTTGATAGTTTCTAAGTTTTATGCAGTCTGTTGAAATCCAGTGATGAATTCTGAATTCTCACTGTAGCTGAACGTGGAGAAGTGTGAAGACAAAGAAAAAAAAAAGTTTTAGGGAGAAATCCTTGAATCCAGGTAATTTGAAATCAGCTGGGGGCTGAATGGGCAGAAGTCTTACATGGAACTACAATATAAAGCATGCTAATTTTCTGAGCAGTATTGCAAGCTACAGAGAGGTGGGGTTAGCATGCTGTAATTTAGATGGATTTCAGAAGCAAAATGTGTTGTGGAAGAGGTCTTCGCAAAGGTGTCCTGAACTGGAACATGTATTGGCAGAATGATCCTGTGCTTTTTAAGTAAAAATCTCCAGATCTAACAACAAGAAATTGTGGTGATGCGAGAATTATACTTCTAGTCACCTAAAGGATAAGTCTTCATGTTGACATCACTTAGAGAAATTATTTAGCAAAGACAGTAGCTCCTCAAGAGGTACAATGAATTTAGAATACAAATTTACCACCTCCTGCTCTTCAGAGCTCTCAGAGTGCTGCTTTGTTCTACAGCAGCCAAAATGATGCTGGGTCTGCTCACAGACTCACGTGTTACATATTCTAAGAGTAAAAAGTTATCTGGCTTAACTTGACAGGATGTATGACTGTGATAAGGCACAGCTGTACATCTCGACAAACTATGGCTGGTAGGAAATAAACTCTTGTATAGTATAATATGGTAGGAAAATAGGCATACAAAATAAAAATATCCACACAAGGAAGGCTGACATTCTGAATGCCATAGCGTTAAGCAGATAAGAAATCGTTTTGCTTTCCTGTGCCTAGAATTGATAAGGCTTTGCAGAAGTAGAACCTTCAATTTTAAGCAGGTGATTTATATTGAGAGGTTACACATAGTATTTCTGATCCTAGAAGGATTTGATTTCAGGGCCCGTGGTTTTGGATCTGCTCCCAGAATGCTGTCATTTCTTGTTGGTAGTTCTAGGACCAAATGCCACTTACCGCCTTTAGAATCTTCTCAACTTTGTTGACTTTGAAGTAGTTTGTGTGGTTACCCTCACGGTTGAATTTTTCCAGGAGCTTTGCAGCAAGATCTTTATGTTCCTCAGTGACTTCTAAGACTTCAACTTTTACAGGACAATCTTTGCACTCTATTAAATCGGGAGGAACTGTGAAAACAGAGCGGTTACTAATATTGCAATGGATATTAATGCTCTTCAGAGTAATATCTGTGTATGCAACTTTAATGTGAACTCATATGAAGAATCTGAAATACCAAATGCTTCCTTGAAGTGAAATGTCTCTCTGCAAATACAGGTCTGTACTGTCATGTGAAAATGAATATTCTTAAAAAACTTCTAGCTTAACTTTGGAATCTAACCGACTCCAATGGGCATTCTTTCAGAATTTGGGGTTTTTTTTCTGATACTCATTATCTTGCTTTGGTGGACTGGAGAAGTGATATTTGATATCAATAAAGCCTATCTTAGAGGAGTAGGGCACTCTTAATTTTATTAGTCATTCTTAACGTACCATTTGAATTATCAAAAGTAGGAATGGTAAGCAGATGAGTCAACCTGTCATGGTTACCATCCAATAGCAGTGCACAGACTTGTACTTCATACTAGGATTGGTTTGAGGTTTGAGGTATGTGTTAGCTTACAAGAGTGGCTGTTTTACCTGGACTTAATGTACAATTATATCCATATAATTTAGGTTTCTTCAGCATCGAGCTCGTATATGTGATAATCTTACATTGCCCAAAGTCCTGGAGGAAAAAAAGAGAATATATGACTATCAGGTTATTTTCACTGGATTTAATGAGATGTAGTTGAGCCTAGACATTGTGCCTCCTTTTAATGTTCAGTATTTAGAAGGATAACAGATGTGGTATTAACAGAATGTTTGTTCTAGTACCACTCAAAATCTGTGTTCAGATAAGATGGGATCTCCTTCTACAAAAGCCTTTGTTTAATTTTCAGTTTGTAGACTGAGGAGGCAATGGAAAATTAACACAGTGTTCTCAGTCATTGTAGTGCTTATTTACTGTGAGGTACTGCTAACTAGCAGGGGAGGCTAGGATGCAAGAGTTACTCAAAGGTTGTATCAGTCTTTATCAAAGTGTGGATGGACCTTTTCTCACATTCATTTTATCCATCTTAACCTTTTCCTTCTCTCTGCCCATGGCCTCCCTGCTTTGTCCTGTGTGGCAGAGAATCACTGCTCTCCTATTTAAATAAAGTCTTGCACAGGTATTCTCATTCCACACTGCATCATTGTACTGCAACAAATAAGGACAAATACTGCAACGTATCGTATGTGTACTGACGCTAACAGTGTTTTACACTGTCATACCACAAACTCAGCCATGCTCTAAAACTGACAGAATATAACACTGGCCTTTCTGGCTGATATACTAGGAGCGTGAGTTAAAAGAAATCATTTCTAGTGCCCTTTAGTTGGTAGCAATTTATTCACAAAACATCAGTTCTGTTAAAAGCAGTGGAAAAGTGGAAAATGTCTTTTGAGACAACTAGCTTAATGAAGCTGTGCTTATTTGATAACCCTTTCCTAAACCGTTAGCTGATGCTTAGCAACTCTAGAAACCAATCAATTTTTATAGCAAGCCATATTAAAACCTAGCCTTTGCTTAGAGTGCACAGGAATTCCTAGGCAATCAAATTATGTGTTTATTGACATATGATTCTGCCTGGATGCTATCACTTACCATGGAATAGAGATCACCATATTCACAAGTCTCCCAGGGTCTTCCAGATAACACGGAGCATTCAGTTTCCAGCACATCCAAAGTTAAGTAAAGGACTGATGAATTTTCCTGGAAGAGAAGTATGGGTTAAAAAAAAAAAAAAGGTTGTTTTTGAGAAACTTGGTCTGAAAGAATTTTTTTTTAGAAGTAGATACGTTTAATCGTTCTTGTAGCTTCACCAGTTCCCTAGCAAGGCTCTTCTGGGCTGACAAGCATAGCATCATGGAAGGGTTTAGGCTGGAAGGGAGCTTTCAACGTCATCTTGTGCAGTCGGTTGGTCAAGGCAAAGCTAAGTTTTAAGTTAGATGAAAATTAGATCAGCCTTGTCCAGCTGAGTTGTATACACAACCAAGACAGATACTCTGCAACTTCTTTGAGCAGCTCTAGCACTTAGTCACTCACTGTAACATTTGTGGCCTTACACCTAGACAGAATTTCCTTTCCTGCAGCATATGGCTGTTGCCTCTCAACTTCTGTTGAGAGCCTGTGAGAAGAGTCTGTTGTTAACCCAGCATCTGTCCCATAAAGAAAATGGTAATGTTGAAAAGTTGTCATTCCCTCCTGATTTTCACATTAAACACCCTGGTCTATTAGCAAACCTGCTGACAGCTTTTCCAAATTCATCCATTTCAAATAACCTTAGTGACCAGATGCTGTTTCAGAACTTTGCTTCCTACCCTGTTTATTTGGGGGGTGATGCAATAAAACTGTAATCCCAATAAATTTAGAAGCCTTAACTCTGAAATTCTTCTAGTATGTTCTGTTTCCAGAGCAAATGGGATGAGGAATTACAATTTGAATATGACTGCCATTGTAATGGAAAGTGGTGTTAAGAATTATTATGCTCACAGAAACAGTATTTTATTTTTCTGTAGGGTAATGAATCTCAATTCACAGTTGGAATGCATTACTTAAACTCCGTGCAACCCCTGTATGGACATTAGGAATGAAAACATCTCGTTTTATCATTTGGATTAATTGATGCAAAGCCCTTTGCTGTGATTGAATGCGTCTTCAGGTTTTAGGAAACTTCATCCATTCAGATTCCTTTGTCAGAGCGTTTCCAAACAGGCAAGACCTCAGGAAAGAATTACCACAGTCTGCTGTAATGTTTTATTAGTGATGCCCCCAGTGTGGTGTTGCACACTAGTTTTGCAGTGTCTGTGGCTCAGCATTGTCACTCTTTTAAAACAACAGGCTAGGTGATCTGGACAAAGACATGCATTATTCTGTGTCAGAATCAGGAAAAGAATATAGCCATCCTGGCACCCATTCTGCCCATTATGCACACGATTATTCTCCGCTTGGAGATAGTTAGCATTTTTATTGTACTTTATAATTTTTTTTATAAATTCAAGCTGCTAGTCGTCATATTAGTAAAATGCAGACAGAGAAGGGAACAAATACAGTGACAAAGACTATTTTTCTCTCATTTGTGTTCATGGAATTGCACTGAATGGGATGGTAAGATGGTCTTTTGTAAAACGTACTATTCACTAGGAGTGAAGCGATTCAATGCATTTACTGTGTCATCAACACTTGTGAAATGCTAAAGAAGGCAATTTATCCCTGGCAAATATTTATTTTCTTCAGTAGGATGCATTTAGATTCTATAAATCCTAAAGCAGAGTTTGGGTTTAATTAGGTGTCTGCATCCTAACACGTGGAAGGAAATTGCTCTGTTCAGCAGCTCTGTACAAGCCCAGAACTGTTATGGTGAGGTACATGAAGTATCTCATGCCACTGCAACTCCCATGTAAACTTAGCAGAGATACAACTGCTAAGAATTTGTCAGGTTAAGTTTCTTCAGGGGATTGATGTCATAGTTTTGATGCACACTATTGCATGGAAAAATAGATTATCCACAGAATAACATTCCGGTTTTTTGTTAGTTTTTCAGTGTTGCCTTGTCAGGGTTGCCACCATTATGTTTTGCTCAGCATGGCAGAAACCACTCCCACTAGCTTTTGTTCTAAGAAGGCACAGAACCCTCGTGGGATTAATGTTTTAGCAGTAGGTTAGATCAGTTCTTATAGACTCTGCATGGCTGTTGATGCTGTGAAGTGCAAAGACAGCAAAATTTATTTACAGCAATTTATTAATGATGAATTTATTAAAATTTACAAAGCAAAGCAGGAACATTCTTCAAGGGCAGGAGACTTGAGGGCTTAAGTCTCTATGCTGAAGACTGCTTGCTTCCTAGATGAGCTTTTCAATCACTTGGCTGTTACATCAAAATCCAATAATATCATTCCCTGCATCCTTTTATTTGAAAAACAAGATGTTCTCTTGATATTCTGGAAGCCTACCTGGAGATCTGTAGTAATCTGGACTTTGGGTTTCTTTTTGAGTTTTTTCTTGTCTTAAGGAAGGGGCAGTTTTAAGCATCCATCAAAAAACAGTTTGCTTTTTTTTCAGTTGCAATACTGAGATGCGTAATACATCTCCTAAGCAATGCACATGTGCAGATTTTCATTTACTAAGCGAGCAGCTGAAAGGTAGCCAAGTTCATAGGTAATACTGAGTGTCCTTGGTCTCTGTCATCTAGAAGTTAAAGTAAATGAATTTTGTATTCTGTTGGCTACAGCTGTTAATTTGCTTTGGCCTCTAGGAAGGCATTCATTGAGAAAGGCTCGTGAATATAGTCTCTAGGAAAAAGAGAGAGAAATATGGAGAAACCTATGAAATGGGAAATGGTCCTCCTATGTACCTATGAAACAGCTCAACGTCGAGCCCTTTCCCTTTTTTGCAGGCTGGTATTTTCATCTCTAGCTTCCTCAACCTTTCCTCTTTCTCTCCAGTTACACAGAGATTTGTGATTAAGATAATAATGAAATACCTATTTTGAACTATACCTTGATCTAATTAATGCTAGACTTTAGCATATTAAAGAAACCCTCTGAGTATAAATTATGAATGTTATTTGAGACCTGACAACAGCCCAGGCAGATTAATTTCTAGTACTTCACAAAGCTATTCAGAGCATCTCTCATGCTACCATCCAGTCGGCCAAGAAAATAGAAGGCATTCAGCATCCCTGGAACATACAGTCAATCATGCACAAGTGAATGCTGTGATGATGTAAATCAGATCTGATTCATTAAATCTTATCAGCATTGCTCTGTTAAAAACAATCATCAGCGGCTTTCAATGAACTGGCTCATTATTTTATCGTCATGGTCTTGTATAGATCAGCTTTTAAATCAACACTTACCGTGTGCAGTCTGTGTGCATCAGCAACTCGGAACAGGCCGAACACGTAGCCGTCCTGGCGATGTCTGTTCACCAGATCCAGCGCCATTCCTGCGTCTGTCTCAATGGCCTCACAGTCCGTAGGTGCAGCGACCTGGCTGGTTTTGGTTTGGGCATTGCAACAATGCAGAAGTGCTAGAAAAAGAGCTGAAGTTACACGCAGCATTTTGTTTGTGGTGTTAAGTCACTTCTGCTCATGCTCTGAGAAAGCCAGTATTCTGCTTTTGAATCAAAGCGGCCCACAGAAGCTTTAAATGAATGCTAAAAAGTCACGGTTTTATATAAATTTAGGTGTTGTGTCACAGGACCATTACCTTGGCCCTGGATTAATGTTTGCAAACTGGAAGTAAATGATTACACTGTGATTTGAACAGATTTTGAAGAAAATGAGCCCTTAAATAGTCTTTGGACCACCATCAAAGGGGCTGTGTTTGTGGTTCTTTAAGCAGGCATTGTGCAATAGTGTTTTACTATGAAAAATATTTAGCCTCCTACACTATGCTGGTGAGCCTGGCATTAAGAAGTGTGAGTTTGTTTGCAGGTATTATGCAATCTATGCAATCTTGGTTTCCTGTTTGCAATAAAAATTGTTGAAATGAAAACATAAGGAACCTTTGTGGTTGTATTATGGCTTCGTCTGTGTGATTACAGCTCCTTAATGATGAGAGCACCAGTGAGCAAGAATGTCACTCAGATCAGGAGAAGAGATGTAGCTCATGGTTCCCTTGCAAGCTGGTGGTCCATGGCTTCTGTGCAAGTACCTGCCACTCTTGCAGATGGGAGAATTCAGAGCAGACTTCTATCAGCTTCACCTGTTTTCAGAATGGCACACAGAATAGGATTGATTGGCTTAATACCAGCGTAATCAAGTCGTGGCATGGAAGGACATAAACCTACCTTCGTGCTCTCAGTCTGGGTAATTGTGTGCTCTTTGTCTGCAGTAGTTTCAAAAGACTTTAAAAAAAAAACAGCCCTGATAGTATTTTAGTGTTTATTAAAATAATGCAGTGCATACTAATGTTCATAGCTTTCACAGCTGCCAATGTTTGCATGTTTGACTTTGAGGTTTTTATTGTATTAATTTTTGAGAGAAGCATTAAGAAATATTATGGGTAATCACTCTTAACCCTCATTAAACTAATCTTTATTGAATAAAAACCCAACTTTTAGCTTTCTCATCTGAGAAATCACATTTAAAAATGCCCAGAGCCAAAGCAGTGGCATATGAACCCATTGTGTCCATTTCAGTGTGAGAGTGAGGAACACTTGGCCCTAGTCTGAATTGATTTAAAATGGAAAAAAGTATTATACCTGTTTGTAAAGTAGTGTACATGTTGCCACAGAGAGATGTGGAGGTGAACAGTATCAGTGAGATACAGTCAGAAATGGTTTAAAAAGTGTGCGGACAACAGGTCTTAAAGTGGATGCTAGGACTGAGCAGAGTCACACTCTTTAATATCCCCAGTACAATAATCCTGGACACTAGAAGAGCACAAGGGATGGATTGCAAAAAGGAAGCAGGCCCACATGCTTCTCCTAACCACAGTTGTTTTGCCACAGTGAGACATGAATACTGGGCTGGAAGAAACACTCTGGTGATGCAGTCTCACATTTCTTTTGTTTAAGTTTTTTATGGTGTTTCATTATAACAATTCCAAATTTCTTCTGGAAAAAAAAAAAAGGTAAAATAAATGCTGTGTAAATAATCAAAGGCATCTGAAACACTTCTCCCCAGTTAGAAATAATATTCTCATCAACGCTGCATTTCATATCCCAGTCCCATTCATTACTTACAGCACTGTTTAATTTTTCAAATGGGCAGTCGTACTGAAGAAAGGCATCAAATTAGGTAATGTATAACATAATTCCCTTAGTCATCCATTGTTTGCAGATTGTTTGTTCGTTATTTTTCTTTTTGTTCTCTGCTGTTCGTGGTGACACTGATCATTTTCTTGACAGAGGCTTATGCATTTTTTATGGGTGAAACAGAAACACTGTGAATAAAGAGTATAAAATGTACAGTTCCTGCAAAATTAACCACAGAAGTAAAAGTAAGGTTCTGTTCCCACTATAGAGTTTTGTCCTCAATTTTTGAGAGAAATGACAAGTTGGTTTAATTATACAAGGTTATACTATATAAGCACAGTGTAATATAATATTAAATAACATTCGTATAGGTGTCATATTATTTAGGTTAATTATGTAAGGTTGACCCATAAAGTAATAAGAAAACCCACTAGCTTTTAATGCTAAACAGCGTTGACATCCTCTTCTCCATTTATGCACCATGACACAGAGCATGGCTTAGTAAGGGCCCTGAGAGCATCCCTCTCCCAGCAGTTTGGCTGCCAGGGCTCAGGGCCAGCTCAGCAGCAGCACAGCTGAGGCTGCACCCCTTTCACCTCGATGAGTTTGGGGTGAGAGTGCCACACAGCACTGCACAGCAGCCACAGCCAAGGCTGTCTCAGCCCTCTGAGGGCTTTTGCTCTCTGCAGTTACCTTTCTTCCTTGTTCTGATGGGAAGAATTTAAGAATTAAGAGCCGAAGTACCCACTTACATTTCTCTTGTGTTTTTGTGAAACAGAGAACTCAAAAGACAAGTGCTTTAATAAGCAGTTTATTTGTTTAGAGATGTTGTGCAAATGGGAAGACCGCTTTGTCTCTGTGGCTATTATTTTGTTGCAGGTAGTTAGGGTGACTGGGTGCTGACTAGACTTTGGCAGGCTTTCCAGTAAGCAAAGGATGTAGGATGGAATCTATCTGCTTTGCTTCTCCTGGGCATGAGTCTGATAGAGAAAGTTCTGTAGGGAAAGGGAGGATAACTGGTCCAGTGGCTGGTTTGTCTACGTGAGTCGTTTCTCCATGGGGGGCCGGTGGAGTAGACATACATTCTGTAGCCTTAGGTGGAACTGGTTTTCTATCTTCCTGCTCATTTTGACTTTCTCTTACTTTATGAAATGAGATGTCCTCAGTTGAAGGAGAGAGAATTTTGACACAGCCCATTGTTTTTCCTAGATGTAAGGAGAAAGGATTGGTTTCTGCAGGGAAAGCTTGTTGATGATTCTGACTGGATTCTTCAGATCCCTGATTAGTTTGTAGTTTTCCTTCTTCAGTGGCAGGATTCTAAAAAAAAAGGCAACAAAATCACATTTATTGAAGCTGTTACAATTTTTTTCTTATGTGAAGAACATCACCCTTTATCTACAATCCCAATTTGCAAAGACCAGCTGCAGAACAGAACCATGAGGGTCAGACACATGGAACTTCCTCTTAAGCCAGTGCACGAATCCTGGGTAACTACACTTCTTTTTGTTATTTATTATTATTTCTTTGTAGATCATTTTGAGCACTTCTCTGTGATAGATGCTGTACTCTCTTGCCTTTTTACCCACCAAGCAACAATCTGCTTTATCACAAGAGAGATTTCTTCCTGATTTGGCCTTATCACTTTCTTGAAGTCCATATCTTTGTGAATTAGAAAATTTGAAAATGGTTGGGCTTTCAGGAGTTCAATTCTTTTTTTATAAAGGAGTGCTACTCTTGCAATATTAAGATTAGATGAAGAAATACCTGTGGGCTGTAGATTTCACAGGATATTGTGACGGTCTCCTTGCGTTCCATGTCACTGTTTACTACAGAGCCTTTGCAGAAACCCGTTTGCTGGAAGAAGAAAATGCAAGTATTATTTTCACAGTGGTGCTGATACTTAGCTCTTATCTTGTAAAATTGGTGATTATGAAAGGCTGAGTTGTTACAGCTTCTACATGTATTTGTAGGGATAAGCAGCTTGGGCAAACTTTTATTTTGGGATTGGCAAGCTTATAAAGGAAGGCAGCATTTTGAAAAAGGCTTTATGTTTACAAAGCAGGGTTAGGTAGCACAAAAATAAGCTGTGTTAAGGTCTGTCTCCAACAGCACACATAAGTTCTGCTGCAGCAGAGTATCCCCGTGGAAGCGAGGTGCGTAATAGAGCACAGTGTTGTTTCTCAGACAGAAACAAATTCACATCATACTAATGAAAGAATCCACGACAAGATGTGGCTTCTAACAACTGTGTGTTTACTGGACTGCAGATAGTATGACTTGGATCTCAGTTAAGACGAGACTTGAAATGGAACATCTCAGCAGCATGCTCATTTAATCTTTAGGTTTCCTTTGATATTTTTTTCCTTGGATGTTTTCCCCGACTGATTTAATTGTAGCATGGATGTTCTTTGTGCTCTGTTTGCAATTCGTTGTCTGTATCTGCTTATATGGAAAAAGTCCTTAAAAATGTTTTGCTTTTGTAAAGCAATGGCTACCCATTTTTTTCTGGACTTACTTTTGTTTGTTTTGGTTTCTTTTGTTCATAGGCTTCTAGGAAATAGTTTGGAACTTTTACTGAATTTTTTCCTGTATTTTAAAGTAGTTTGTATACATGCAAGTCAGGGCTACAACCCATAGGAAGACTTCCTTGGGTTTTGTTTCTTGTCTGCAGAGAACCAAAGGATTAGGAATCATAGTATCTGCTTGTACTTACAGCTAATTCAGGTGAAAGAGGCTTGCACTTGGAGATGTCAGCAACTGGTTCCCTTCTGGGGCAGGATGTCTCCTGAATTACAAACTCCACAAAATGCGCCGGACCAGTGACCCACTGTTAGTAACAGACCAGTGAGAATCCAGTGAGAATCAGCCTATGTGTGGCTGTCCAGGAGGAGAAAAAGTCCTGCAGACCTCAGAATTGTTGTAGAACTCCTTTTAAGTGTGGAAAGAGCAGGTAGTATTTGGATATTGCTACTGAAAGTGATTTTTACCTGTGCTACTTTATTGCCTGATTATTTTTTTACTTCTTACAGATGCACAGTCCTGTTAGCTCATGGATGAGCTGTCGTTCAAACAAATTTCATTTTTCCTGATAGATTAGCATCCTCGTAGAACTGTAAATCCAAAGTCTGCTCATTGTCTCACTGATCAATTCACTACTTTAATGAAGAGGATCATTTTTTCCATTTTTTTGAAAGCACAGGTTTCCTCTGGGTTGGAAACTTGATTAAATATTGCATTGTAGCACTATTTAACAAAGAGCAAAATCCCCCCACTCTCTATGTGTAATGAATTTTAGGGAGACTGGATATTACTCTCATAAACAGCATTTTGCCAGGAAATCACTAATTCTCTATTATTCTAATATTAGTTTTAAACCAGGATTAAAGTCATTTAGATCTGTGTAAGAAGGGATGACTGTGCTTTATTAAATATGTTCTAGTAGGAGCCATTAATATACGGTGA